CTTGCGTTGTTGGTGAGCGCAACACCGTATCAGGAGATAAAGTATGTTCCAGTGAATGCAGTTCGGTATCCGGAAATGAGGTATTACGTTGTTCAACTGATTTCATCCCCTGATTGGCTTCATGATCATCAGCATCCTGCTTGGCTTCATGATAATCAGCAATTGAATTCTCCATCACCCGTTTCTTCAAGCGGGAGTTCCACAAGTTTTTGATTTCATTGTCTGTTCTATTTGGCAATCGTTTTGCAATTTTAGTCCAACTACAAGCAACAAAATAGAAAAGAAGAACAAAATTAATGCTCTGTACGTAGCTGCTTTCTAAGATTTCTATATACAACCCAGAATAGTAATTATAATCTTCTATTTATATAGATAATTACTTATATATACATAAAGTTTGTTTAACATGTATTTTAAGAGAATAAGTTAAATTTTATTAATTATAATATTTGTAATTAATTTTATATAAATTTTTATACAAAATTCAGAAATAATATATAAAAATAATATAACATTTTATCTCAAAATCTATAAAAAAATTATAAATTTAATATAAAAATTTATATAAAATTAATTAAAATTTAATTAATGAGCCTTAACCTCTATCTTATTATTAAAGCAGGAGATGATATTTTATGCGTGTTATTTTGTTCAAGTTCTTTAACATTTATTGTTGTGTAAGTAAAGCATTCTTAATTATTATCAAAAGCAGCGTCTGATTTAATACAATTATTTTGTTTGAGATCTTAAACATAGATTGTTGTCCAAAACAAAAAACTGATACTAAACCCCAAAAACATTTTCTGTTTATTTTCTCTTTCTCTCCCTTCTCTGCTTCTTCTTAGCACAGAAGAGAAGAGAAAGAATCAAACAACCCATTGCAGTACTTCTCTTTTCTTTTCCTGTAGCGTATGTTTATGATCTTTTCTCCCTTTTGGATGTTTAAACTGTACAGTGTATGTCTAGATTTTGCCTTAAAAATTTATCCTTGCTTGCTTTTGATTGTTCATATGAGGAACTTGACTGTGGGTTTATCATTGTATTGAGTTTTATTTGATGTGGCTGCACTATAAATGTTGGTTCTGCATTGTAAGTTAATTTGGGCTGGAATTTTAGGCAGAAACATGGGAAACCTTTTTGTGGCAAATTCTAGGAGAAAAATAGTGTGACTAGTAGAAGGTTCTAAATTTTTCCAACCGTCGGATCGGAAGTGATTAATAATTGTGTTATTTATTCTAGAAGGAAACTGCAATTTTCAATTATTTGAATTTAGTGTCTGCAGAGGCCCCCACAACTAAAAAAGAAGGCCAAAAAAATTATTTAAATTTAGCGTGAGTAAAAGCAGAATTTCAAATACTTCTGCTTCTGCGAACACAACATAATTTTTAGAGTTCTAATTAAGTGTATAATTTAATATTCATTCTTAAGAATCTAATTCTAATGGTTAATTCTCTTAAAAGTAAATAGTTCATGGAGTGCACAGCTTACCAGTTAAGCGCTTTTGGTGATATATATACTATCGCAGAGAACAGCAGAAGATAATGCATATGCTGTTGGTCACTTTTTCAGAATTGTAATGTGAACAACACAATTACATAGATACTTGTCTGTTCACGTGTATCTATTTGTTCAAACTAACGTGTGTTTCTTAATTATTAGCAATTATACTGTATGTAATGTCGGGCTACTGACTGATATTTTCATAATTTCAATCCCATTTTTCTTTAAATAAAGGCTTCACAATTGAGAATTTCATGCATGTATATTCTTTAGGTAGTTCTAATACTAAAGTATTTAGTACTCATTATCTAACATTTCTTTTATTTATGAGTTTTTGTAATTTTTGTCTTAATAACACAAATTAAAATTTTATTTATTGTATTTTTTATTATTAATTTATATAAAAAATTTATAAAATAAATTTTATTTTTAATATCAATATTATGTGAAACATTTTAATTAGATTATTAATAAAATTAAAGTTAATTTTTTATTTTTTAATATAAATTTATAATAAAAAACATAATAAATACATTCTTAATAAAAAAAAATTCCTTTATTTATAAGTAACATTATCACTTGGGTAAACTGACATGGTCGTATCCTGTTTTTATTAAACTAATTAACTTTATTTTCTTGGAATTTTTTTTAAGAACTTAAATACGTGCGAACATCATATTTATTTATTTTTACTTAAAATAAACTACCAATTAAATTAACAATTCCCTCCCGCCCCCCGCGCCTCGCGAAGCGGCGTTTAAACCACTTGTCAAATAAGGTCATCCAAGTAAAATAACCATTTTCAACAAATTAAAACCTCCTAAGATGTTTAGATTGAGAGAAGAAAAAAGAAAGAGAGGTAAAAAAATTTTTATTGAGTTATTAAAAAATTTTAAGGGAAGGGAAAAGAGAATATTTTATTTTATTTTTTAAATTTAATTATTTATTTAAATAAAAAAATTAAAAAATATAAATTTTTTTCTCTCTCTTTCCCTCTCTTCTGTTTCCCTTTCTTCCATTTCCCTTTCCGCAGACGTAGGATAACTTCACCAGTAGCTTCTTCCCTGGATGCAACTTCACTCGTGATTTAATTATTAGTAAATTAGATTTTTTTTTTCTTTTGCATAAAAGGAATTAAGGGTAAGGAGAGAGAAGAGAAAAAATGGGTACAGAAAGCTCGAGTTTCCATGACGTAAGTGGAAAACTATACAATGATCACACGAATTCGCATGCGAAAGTTTAAATTTTAAGTTAATTTTTTAATCACTCTTATCCCATCGATTTAAATATACACATGATGATGTTATCCAGTTATATTTCTTTAGTATTATAGTAATAAAGGTCATATAGGCATATAGGCATTATTAGGTAGTTCATCAGTAGTCCGCCGCCTCCAATAATTAAGTACCTGTTACACAAACATAAGTGATCTGTGTAATGTTGGGGGTTTTCTTAAATTTTTATTAAATATTTGTTTAGAAATTTATATTTTAATTAATAATTTTTAATCCTTAATTATTAAATTAAAATTTTATT